GTGTCGTCGGCCCAGCCCGGCAGGTCGGCGAAGGCGACGGCCTCGAGCTGCAGCGGCGGCGCTTCGGACAGAGCCTCGGCCGGCGGCGCCTTCTCGGCGGCCTCGCCGGGCGCCTCCGCCGGCGCCTCGCCCCGCTCCTCCTCGGCCGGCTCCTCGCCGCAGCCGGACAGGGTCAGGGCGAGCGCCAGCGCCAGGCCGGCGAACAGCGCAGCGCGCAGGCGGGCGAGCGGCATGGGTGCAGGCATCCTCGGCGCGCCCGGCCGCGTGGCCGGGCCTCAGTTGGGCGCGGCGGTGGCCACCAGGCTCCAGTTGGGATCGCGGCTGCTGGTGTTGCGCGCGAAGGTCCAGATGTCGGTGATGGTCTCGACCTCGCTGGGGTCGCCGTCGACCACCCGCCCCTCCTCGTCGTAGGTCACGTTGACCTGCTCGGAGACGAACTTGACGGTGACGAAGGCGGTCTTGCCGCGCAGGTCGGCGTCGACGATGTCGGCCGACTTGATGCCCACCAGGGTGGTCTCCAGCCGCTCGCCGGCCTCGCGGCGCTGCTCGATGGCGCCGGCAAAGTCGCTGTAGACGTCGTCCGACAGCAGCGGCCGCAGGGTCTTGGCGTCGCCCTGGGCGAAGGCGCCGACGATCATCTCGAAGGCGGCGCGCGCACCCTGGACGAACTGGTCGGGGTCGAACTCGCGGTCGGCCAGCTTGATCCGGGTGAGCCCGGCGGCGCCCGGCCGGTCGCCGTAGTCCGGCGCGGCCTCCTCGCGGCCCGCGTCGCCGCGGCTGTCGGGCAGGTGGACCACCTTGTCCTCCTCGCCGGAGGGCTCGCCCCCCTGCTCGCCGCGGCCGCGCGCCTGCTCCTGCCGGCGGCGCATCTGCTCTTGATGGAAGGGGTCGTATTCGCGACCGCCCTGATGCCCCGTGCGCTTGCCCAGGACGCTGCGCAGGCGCAGCACCAGGAAGGCGGCAATGGCGCCGAGGATGATGATGTCGAGAAGACCAGTGCCCATAAGGCTTGTCCGTGCGTCTCTTGGCTCGTCTTCGGGGCGGTCGGATCGGCCGGTGTCTGCGTCGTATCGGGCGGCGTGAGTGCGGACCGCCGCGGGCCGATGCCTAAGGATCGGAGCGGCATCCGCGTCGCACGGCGAAACGGAGGCCTTGCCCGGCACCGGCCTCGCCCCCACTACATAGGAGAGCCTCGAAGAAAGGGCAAGAATGGGTCTTCTGCTGCTGGCGGCCTTCATCGCCGTCCCGCTCATCGAAATCGCCGTCTTCATTCAGGTCGGCGGCCTGATCGGCCTCTGGCCGACCCTCGCGATCGTGATCGTCACCGCCGTGGCCGGCACCTGGCTGCTGCGGCTGCAAGGCATCGCCACGCTCAACCGCGCGCGCCAGCAGATGGACCGCGGCGTGATGCCGGCGCGCGAGCTGTTCGACGGACTCTGCCTGGTCTTCGCCGGCGCGCTGCTGCTCACGCCCGGCTTCGTCACCGACGCCGTGGGCCTGGCGCTTTTCGTGCCGCCGCTGCGCGACGCCCTGCGGCGCGCCGCCACGCGCTACGTCGAGACCCACGCCACCACGCGGGTCTACACCGGCCCCGGCGGGGGTCCGGGCGCGGGGCAGGATGAGGGGCGCGACTGGCGCGAGGCCGCGCCGCCGCCGCAGCCCGGCCGCGGTTGGGGACCGCGCGGCCGCGACGGCGCGACGATGATCGAGGGCGACTACCGCGACCTGACCGAGCGGCCCGAGGCGGAGGCGCAGGACGGGCCGGAGGAGCGGCGCAACGACCGCCCCGGGCCGCGGTCCGAGGGGACCGACGACGAGGCGGCCGAACCGCCGCGCGACGACCGCAAGCCCTGAGCGAGGCGGCCGGACCGCCGCGCGACGACCGCAAGCCCTGAGCGAGGCGGCCGCGCCAGGCGTGCGGCAGCTTGTCCGGCCGGCGCCGTCGTGCTAGCCCCGCGCCAGAGACGACACCCCGGAGCGCGGGGCGCCGCCGCGGCCGGCCCCGGCCATCCTCAGAAAAAAGCGCGGGACGAAGAGCGAGATCATGAGCGACAGCCAGAGCGGCCAGCAGCCGACCCAGCCCACCGGCAGCTTTCAGGACAACCTGCTGACGGTGCACACCCAGTACGTGCGCGATCTCTCCTTCGAGAATCCCAACGCGCCGCAGATCTACGCCCAGATGAAGTCGAGCCCGAAGGTCGACCTGCGCATTGAGATGCCGATGCGCGCGATCCAGGAGCGGCTCTACGAGCTCGGGCTCAAGCTCACCCTGACGGCGAAGCTGGAGGAGCAGACCTGCTTCCTGATCGAGCTGGACTACGCCGGCCTGATGACCGTGGGCAACCACGTGCCGGAAGGCGAGATCGAGGCGGTGCTGGCGATCGACGGCGCCCGCCTGCTGTTCCCCTTCGCCCGGCGCGTGATCTCCGACGTGGTGCGCGACGGCGGCTTCCCGCCGGTGATGATCGGCGGCCTGGACTTCGCCAAGCTCTACCAGCAGCGCCGCGCCCAGCAGGCCCAGGGCGGCGTCGGCGGCATCGCCGTGCAGGGCGACGGCCAGACGGCGGGTGAGCCGGCGGCTGGACCGGCGGGCGGCCCTGCCGGCGGGCCCGGCAGCGGCACGGCCTGAGCG